CCCCTCGCTGCTGTGCCCCCCGGATCCTCCTTTTCCTCCCCAGCCCCTTGCTGCTGTGTGTCCCAGATTCTCCCCCTCCTTGTCCCCCTTTTCTGATGTCTCCTCCATCTCTCCCTGCTGCAGTCGGCCACGCTCACAGCGCATGGAGAGGAGTCCACGAAGTTGCCCGCTGGCTCGGAGAGCAGTGAGGAGGAGGAGAAGCTGGACCTCTCTTCAGCCAGGAGGTGAGGTTGCTGCAGGGGACAAGGGCTGTGAGGGGGGTGCCCTGGTTCAGACCATGCTCCCCCCATGTCGATGCTAGGGGTGATGTGTCCTATCTGTGTCCTGCAGGCTGACGGACGAGGAGCTGATGCGAGCATGCGGGGGCCGCACGGCGCACAAGTAAGTGGTTTTCTGGGGCGTGTGCGGTCGAGCTCCCCCCTCCTGGCACGAGGTTTGAGCAGGGGGGCACATTCCCTGCTGGGGAGGTGCCAGACCCCTGCTCGTGGTCGCTGCAGGGGCGCCCGTCACGGCCTGACCATGAGCGCAAAGCTGGCGCGGCTGGAGGAGCAGGAGCGAGCGTTCCTGGCCGTGTACCGGCACAGGGAGCAGCACCCCGGGCCCCTGGGGAGCAGCCCCCCAGCAGAGGGGCAGGACACAAGAAAGAAAAAGAAGAGGAAACGGTGCAGGGACAGAGACGATCCCGAAATGCTGCAGAGCAAGGAGCTGAGTGGAGAAGAGGAGGAGGAAGAGAAGGTTGTGAAGAGGAAGAAGAAGAAGAAGCGGAAGCAGGAGGAGGAGGAGAACAGGGACAATGAAGAGGTGGCTGAGATAAAGAAGAGGGACAAAGAGATGGCTCAGATTAAGAAGAAGAAGAAAAAGAAGGACCCTCGGAAAGCCACAGAGGAGCTTCTGGAAGCCACAGAGGGGCCAGACCAGGCTGGGCACAGCCCCAAGAGGAAGAGGAAGAAGAGGAAGAGGGAGGCAGAGTGAGCGAGGGCTGGGGTCGCCGTGCTGCAGAGCTGCTGGCACTGTCTGCCCGTAAGGGTCCCAGTCCTGCCCGTGGGTGCCCAGGGTGCTCCCAGCTGGGTGGAGCCCAGTGCTGTGGTGCTGGGCTGGGACTGGTTGGTCTGGAGCTGGGTCAAGCTTTACTTCGCCTCTGGAGCCTTCTTCACATCAGGGGTGGCCCCAGATCCCACCTGACCCCAGGGCAGGGACCTGTTTGTCCCTCACAGGAGGACACGAGGGGACAGACCCCCCCAGAACCCCGACAGCTTTTTCCAAGGGCGTCAATAAATCTTTATTGCAGCAAAACTATCCCAAAGCGTGAGCTACGCAGCAGCCCCTGGGATCCTGGCCTGTGGCTGTACCCAGGACCACTCAAATTCGGGAGCAACCCCAAACCAACCCACCTGGGAGCTGCCCCCTTCACTCCAGAGCTCCAGGAGGGGCTTTTTAGTTGCCAAACCTCAATCCCGCTGATAGAGCCAGGTAGAACTGAAGCCTAAGGAGGTGCTGAGCATCCTCCTTGCTGTGGCTTTGGCAGAATTAGGCCCCAGCCCCGCACCCCGGTGCCCGTCCCCTAGCTCAGCTGCAGCACGCAG